GAGAGAGAGAGAGAGAGAGAGAGAGTAATGAATATTTTAGAATTAGAGATATGAGAATTTGATTGGTCAAGTGTGAAAACATGTTTTGTCATCACTAGCACGCGTTTCCAAGAGTAAGAATTTGATTGTCCAGTGTTAAAAGAGGTTTCATCATCAATAGCATGAAAATACGTGAACTTGTCACAAAAATTCTGAAAAAATGTTTTTTGTCGTCAATAGCACGTGCTTCCAAGGGTGAGAATTTGATTGCTTGAGTGTGAAAAGAGGTTTTGTCATCAGCAGCATGGACATGGGAGCTTGAACGAATCTACGCGTCTGAAGACAAATAGAGTACACAATCAAATCCGTTCCACTTTCTGAATCTAGTTGTATTTTCCAAGTTAGTGCATCACAGCAATTATTTCGAGACCCTAAAACATCACACTGTTCTGCGTGTAGACCTAGCTTTTGATTCCTAATTATAGTACTCTAGTTGGAGGCATTGCTATACATGACACAGGAGGCTTTGGTCATCAGCCGCACATACATGCAACCATGATGTGTTTGTCTATGAGAGAGAGAGAGAGAGATGAAACATTCATTTAGTCCTTATTTGAGCTCCATTTTTAGAATAGATATTGTAAAAAAAGTGATTTTTTGGAGAATGTATGGTTAAAAAGTAAGAAAAATTTTGGATTTACATGCAAAATTATTTTATTGAGAAAATATCGGGTTGAACATGAGTTTGGAAGAAAATAAGTTTTAAAGAATGGGGCTCAAATATGGACTTAGTTATAGAATCCGAAATGGAATGTTATTAGACAATTGTGATAAAATGTTCTGGATCATAGGAGCCTATACATGTCTGCATGCACGCATGTGCATGTGCATGTGCACAGTGAGAAAGAGATGCAATCCATTTCCAATTTGATAAAAATTCTTAAGGAATAAATACATCATAACATTCAATAAGCAGATGAAAAGGTAACAAAATTCATTTCATATATAGATGAGCAAGTTATTCCCCAAGCTGCACCATTTTTGGTGGCACCTTTTTCTCAACACCAGTCCTGTGAGATATTAACAATAGGCAATCTCATAATAGCTCTCGAGCTATAAGGAAGGAAGCTTGGTTTTATTTACAATAGTTGTCTTGATTTTCTCTTATTTTCACATTGTACCTTTTAAGTGTGTCATAATCTAATCTTTATTTTGTATGGAAGATGATTGGTGTACAATGTAGGGGGTTCCGTGAACCTCTACAGATACCTCACATGGACAGGGTGGATAGGTTAGTTTTGTGACATTATTTATTCATGTGGGTGGAGTCCACACTTTGTAAGATATCTATAAATTTTCTGTAAGAATTTTTCTGTACACCAAACATTACTCATTTTGTATTCCCCCACAAACATGATACATAATTATTAACAAATAAAACAATAAGTTAACTAGACAATAGTAGGAGCATATTTGGCTAAGATTAAAGAGGAAAAAAAGAAGTAAACTTGCTTCTTTTCGAAACTTGTCATAAAAATAAGTTTCCACACTGAAATTCATAAAAAAATAATGACTTTTCAGAATCTCGGACAAGTTTCTCAAGAGAGATCCAAGTCTATTTCGAATTATTAGAATGAATGATCTTTATTTTGAAGAGTCAACGCTTAAAATCATATTCAAAGAAATTCTTTAAATTAATATTTTAATTTAGAAAGTAAGTTTGACTCTCCAAACTCATTCTTTATAATTAAGAGATAGTCTGGTGTTGCTTTTTTGCTTGATTTTAAGTGGAAATGTGACCCTTTTTTCTCATTTGGGACCCACGCGTGAGAGAATGGCTCAACAATTACGACGGCCAACAGTAGGAATTTTGATAAAAATATGGGAAAAACCAGGCCCAGACAGATGCAAAATACATTCAAAGTATTTCAATTTTAAATGTAGAAAAATAAAAAATTAATCCAGGGAAAAGCTATTTAAAATAAAAGATAGAAAAAATAATTAATATTTTTTGGAAAAGTAAAATTATAAGTGTTATCTATAAAATGGCCGAAAGACTAATTCAAAATTTTAACTCGCAAAATTTATAGATGCTTTTCAAATGATAGAAAGGGAATCTGTTGCTGGAGATGCTCTAACATTCTACCGTTAAAAGGATCCACAGTTTTAACAAAAAATATAATATTACTATAATAATTGTTCCAAAAATGGAATATTTGACCCGCATAGTTGAAAAAAAAAATGTGGCTTTGGTGATGAACTAAGAACATATTTAAAAACTAAAGCAATACTTACCAAATTCCAGAAACCGTCGATCACAGAAATCCAGTTACTCTGCTCACTACAAGAGCTTCCAAAACTGTTAACCAAAAGAAGAAAGAAAAAGGCTAATAATCGATGAGTAAATGTCAGAATAATCTTAAATGAGATAGGTAAAATTCAAAACTGAGAGAAGTAAATCCTCTTTCTTGTAATAAATTCACCAACTGTATACAATTATTTCTTGGCTCCCAACGTAATCTTTTTTTTTTTTTTTTAAGGATAGTAAGGAAAAAAAGGCACGTAAATGTTTAAAAAAAAATAGATAATGTAAAACGGGCGCTAGTGGATAAGCACGCACGACTGCATTAGTAGTACTGTAGTGCTGTTATAGTTAAGCAGGCGGCCAGCGTAATGGACTTCCGTGGGGCCGAAAGTCAGTTTGAAGAGATAGAGCTTTAAAGTCCGTGCCAAATTTTCATTGGGAAAATTAGACCCACTACCGCTAAAAATAAAAAAATAAAAAATTGAATAATACTCTATTAATTGATTAATACATTCTAAACTCCCAAAACCCAAATCAGATCCCTGATTCTAGAAAACTCCCAAAGGCCCTCCTCCTGACTCAGCGGTGGTGGTAAAGCAGCCTCAATTGCTGGTGGGAGCGATGATGATGACAATGTTGAAGGCTTTCATAAAGGACGTTATCACTACATGGTTTTAAGGGGAATTTGCTGCGGCCGTCATTGATGTGCTTTGTGAACAACTAAGGCAACTTGAAGGTGGTGTTTCGATATATTGTTAATCAACTTGGTGATATTTGTTGTAGGAGGCTAAATTGGATCCCTAAACCTTTAGATGCAACAATACTATTCGATTGTTGATATCGGGGCTTCAAAAGGTTGAAGCCAAAAAGTGTAAAAAAAAAAAAAAAATGTGTCTAAAACGAATACTGAGGAAGAAAAAAATTGTTCTATAACAAATGCAGATAAGATCCGAGGCTCGCTTCACATGCCTCTCTTTGACGAGGCTGAACACCTAAGGGAGAAGCCTCAACATGTTTATCTCATCCACCATCACTTTACCTCAATTAAGTCATCATTTATATGGCTTGATTATTAGCTCACCCTGAAGCGAGATGTCAAGTTCAGATTGCTAAATCAAACTTATGCTTGATTATTTACCGAGGTGCATGCACTTGATATTGAAAAGAAAGCAAAACTTTGCAAAACATGGCATTCATTAATATTGAGTACATTACAAGAGGTGGGCTCAAGGCCAGAACATTGATATAAACTGAAAAGGAATCCTAAACTAAGCTTCGGATGATGGAATGGAGGGAACGCCTCTGCAGTAGGAGCTTCAGCAGCTTGAGCATCAGGCCCCTCTTCAGTCCTTTCTGCTGCTTCTTCTCCCACTGCTTCCTTAGCTGGGGTCTGAGGTACCTCAACCACAAACTCAAACCTGAGTTAAGATAGATCGTAGCCTGGGTAAAGTTCCTCAGCCCTCTCCATCACCTTGGCGTAGCCAAAGTTCCTCCAGTATGCGCCGAAACTCCGGTACTCCTTAGTGTTGTGGAAATTGGCAATGAACTCGTTAACTGCCTCCTCCCCCGCCTGGACTCCGAGGCTCACTCCACATGTCGAATTCACTTAACTCTACTACCCATTTCAGTAGTCTTCCCGAGGCATCCTGCTTCTGTAGTACTTGCCTCAAAGGGAAATTGGTCAGAACGTGAATGGTGTGTGCTTGGAAGTAGGGCCATAGCTTCCTAGAGGCTGTGATCAAGGCTAAGGCGAGCTTCTCCATATTAGTGATGGCAATTTACCTCGCCCCGCCCCGCCCCGAATGGGGCAAACCCCCCTTGCGCGGTCGCTGGGCGGGGATGCCCCGCCTCGTGATTTTTTTTTTATTATTATATAAAGTTCATCTATGCAACATATTTCAAAATTGCTTTTTATTTATACTTATTTTCTATCACAATTTTTTTAATAACATAATTTACATGTAGACCTATAATTTTTTCATACTTTTTATTCACACATTCTCTAAAAATCATTTTACACTATAAATAATTTTATCCCAAAACAAAAACTTAAATTTACATAAAGTAAGGTCATTCTTTATTAAAAGTTCAACTTGAATGTTATTCGTATTTTATTAAACTCGGAATTAAAAAAAATTAAACTGGGCAATAAAATTGCCCCGCCCCGACGGGGCGGGGTGCGGGGCGGGGCATGGCATGGGACGAGCGAGTTTCCGAAGATAGGAGTGCCTTGTTAGTGTAATATACGGGAAGTTGGGTGGTTTCTTTTTCTCGAATTAGGACTGTATTGATAGCCTCATTAGAGACGACCAGCTATATTTGAAGGGTATCGTCGGGCTTTGGCTTAGAGAGGAGGGGGGCCTACCCTAGATGTCTTTTCAGGCCCTGAAAGGCCTCTTCACATTCCTCATTCCATTCGAACTTCCTCCAAACTTTCAATATCTTGAAGAACGGGAGGCATTTATTGGTGGCCTTGGAGACAAAGCAGCTAAGGGCTGCCACTCGTCCCGTTAGGCTTTGGACTTCCTTGGGTTTCTGGGGTGATCTCATGTCGAGTGAGGCATTGATCTTTTTAGGGTTGGCATCGATTCCTCTTTTGTTGACCATGTACCCCAGGAACTTGCCAGAGGCAGCGCCAAAAGCGCACTTGAGGGGGTTGAGCTTCATCCTGTACCTCCTGAGGATTCGAAAAGTGTTATCGAAGTGCGTCACATGGTTGTCCGCCTTCAGGCTTTTCACAAGCATATCGTTAACGCAGACTTCCATTGTCTTACTGATGTGGTCTACAAACATTTTGTTGACAAACCTTTAATAGGTGGCCCCGACGTTTTTCAACCCAAAGGGCATCATCTTGTAGTAGTAAAGGCCTCTGTCAGTGATAAAGGAGGTGTTCTCCTCATCGGATGGGTACATGGGTGTTTGGTTGTAGCCAGAGTAGGCATCCATGAAACTCAGGAGCTCATGCTCGACGGTGGAGTCTACTAATCAATTCTCAGAAGTGGGAAGCTGTCTTTGGGGCATGCCTTGTTGAGATTGGTAAAGTCAATACATACCCTCCACTTACCGTTGGGCTTCTTGACTAGCACCGGGTTGGAGACCCACTTCGGGTAGATGACCTCTCTAATGAAGCCATTCTCGATTAGTTTCTGCACTTCTTCTTTCAGAGCCTCATATCTTTCTGGGTTGAGGGCTCTTCTCTTCTGTCGGTGCGGGGCAACCTTAGGATCAATTTTTAGGTGATGACAACTGACCTTGGGGTCTATGCCCACCATGTCCTCAGGCCTCCAAGTAAAGACGTCAAAGTTCTTGCAGAGAAAGTCTTTCAATCTTTCTTTCATGTTGTTGCTCAGGCCTACGCCCACTTTCAACACCTTCGTGGGGTCACGGGGTCGATCGGGAAGCTTTCTAGTTCCTCAACAGGAGTTGCTTGGGATTCGTACTCAATCACGTGGGGATCTATCTCATCGATCATGGAGAGTTCTTCTTGCTCGGGAGGTGCGTCGATCATATCAACATCCTCTCGTTCGAGAGGGGCCTCACTTGGGACATCTGCCATATCCACATCCGTCAGGATGGCATGTACGTCTCATGGCTCAACCTTTCTGATGGAGCTCAGGTAGCACTCTCTGTATCTTCTTTGGTCACCTCTCACTGTTATCACCCCGTTCTCAGTTGGGAGTTTTATGCATAAGTGGTGGATGAAAGTGACGGCTCCCAACTCCTTCAGGGCTGGTCTACCCAAGACTCCGTGGTAGGCTGACCGACTGTTTACAATAAGGAATTCCATGAAGTTCATGGTGGTTTGGGGGACTCTCCCATCTCTACCGCCAATGTTATCTTTCATCTCGGGGTGATACTATCTCTGGTAAATCCATATAGAAGAGTGGTGGTGGGTGTCATCTCGTGGTCCAGGATCATCTTGTCAAAGGTAGACTGAACTGGATGTTAACGGAGCTGCCATTGTCTACTAGCATTCGCTTGAGTCCATTTCAGGCCACAACGACCTTTACCACAAGTGCATCACAATGGGGGTAGTGAACCCCTTCTTGGGTGAAGACGATGGACGGTACTCGGTTTCTTCGGGAGCTACTGTCCACGATATAACTGGTCAGTGGAGGCGCTTGGCTTCCCGGACGTAACTTCGTTTTACGTACCGAGTCTCCCTTCCTATGTAGGGGCCTCCAAATATGGCGTCTATCTAGTGAATAGGGGCCTCTTCTCGTGCATGGTGATTCCCACAATGCCTACGTCATTGCCTGGTTCTATCCGTGCCATATTCCTTTGTGCGAGGAGAGACATCTCGCTGGCGGGGAACGGCCTCCTCACGCCTAGGTCGCTGGTCATTCCTAGGCGGGGGCCTGTTCACCTGTGGGGAATCATTCCTTCTGTCTAGGAAATTTTCCCGTTGGTTGTGGTATGCGTACTCCCGATATTCAAATGTGTCATGATCGTAGGAGCGGTGGTACGTACAATAATCGGGGGTTCTGATTAAGCCTATTCCTAGGTCCTGAACCACACCCCGGCCTCTTCCTCTACGAGGGATCTGTTGTGAAGTTCCTACTTGCGAGTTGGTGGTAGTTGGATTGACATCTTCATATGCCGAAGTTGGAACTGCGATCAAAGTGGTTGTGGCAAGTGCTTACCCTGAATTCTATTACCAGATGGGTTCACCTGGTAGTCCATCAAGTGGGAGGTCGATCTCCTGACACGCTGTCTCTGTTGAGGTAGGAAGCCTCTGCTGGCCCGATTCCGGTGTTCAATTAATTCTTCATTAATAATCTGCCACCTCATCATTTCCAACATGTGACGTAGGTGGTGGGATCTTGGTTTTGCACGTCCCTCCAAAACAGGGAGTTCATATTCAGACCTCCTTTTAGGGTTGACAAAGCTTCACGATTGGTAACTTGCACGCAATACGTCATTTCGTCGGTAAAATGTGATAAAAAGCTTTTCAGGGATTTCCCATGTGCTTGCCTCATGTCTTAAAGGCGCTTGATGGCGGCCTCTCCCTCCTTGCTCACCGCAAATCTCTTTAGGAAAGTGGTTTTGAATTCTGGCCAATTCTTTATGCTCCCAGGCGGCAGTCGACTATACCAGATTTCAGCCGCTCCACAAAGTGTCAAAAGAAAAGCTCTACACTTCAGCAGCGTTGTTGGTGGCCTTAAATTTGAATCTCACGGCTGAATTCAGCTTGTAACCTTCTAGGCTGACAAGGACTACCCCAGCTCTCGAACCTGTGTCTCCAGCTGAACGATCCATGAACAAGTTCCACGTGGGGGGCTCAACAGGTTCCATAACCTCTTCCATCTCAGGTGCATTGGTGAACTCTGCTATAAAATCAGCTAAGTCTTGGCCCTTGATGGCTGCCCTTGTCTTAAAAACAATGTCGAATTCACTTAACTCTACTGCCCATTTCAATAGTCTTCCCGAGGCATCCGGCTTCTGTAGTACTTGCCTCAAAGGAAAGTTGGTCAGAACGTGAATGGTGTATGCTTGGAAGTAGGGCCTCAGCTTTCTAAAGGCTATGATTAAGGCTATGGCGAGCTTCTCCATATCGGGATAGCGAGTTTTCAGAGATAGGAGTGCCTTGCTGGTGTAATATACGGGAAGTTGGATGGTTCCTTTTTCTTGGGTTAGGACTGCACTGATGGCCTCATTGGAGACAGCCAGGTATAGTTGAAGGGTATCGCCGGGCTTTGACTTGGAGAGGAGGAGGGCCTGCCCTAGATGCCTTTTCAGGCCCTGGAAGGCCTCTTCACATTCCTCATTCCATTCGAACTTC